CCCCGTCCTGCATCCCGTGTAAACTCTGCCGTCTGTCCATTATTTCCATGGCAAGTAAACCGGCTGTCTTGGCAGGTCTCGGGAGATCGTTTTTACCGGAGGCAACCGCGGGGGTGGGGTAGTTTTGAGGCCGAATCCAGATCAGTTTACTGATATTAAAAGGCTCCAGACTCTCCTGCAATAGAGCTGAAGCGGACGTGGGGAATCAGCGTCAGAAGGTCCATCACATTTCTGCATTTTCTCTAAGAGACTCCATAAAATGCACACTTCTCCATAAATAAAAAAGTACCTTTCTCTCACCCGACAGAAAAGGAACCCGGGTTAGTCTGAGTAGCGGAGATTTTGGTTTCGATCTTCAGGAGGCCAAGATTTGGATGTAATTTTCATTCATATCTCTCTGCGTGTGTGTCTCTCGTTTCCTTTCTCTCTCACACTAAATGACTCTGTCTAAGGGCGGTGGGTATAAAGTTTATGCTTTCATTGCTCTGAAAAGACCGTCTCTGGGCCAATGACACCATTTCACTTGATCGTCTGTTCCAGCGAAAACCGCAAGAATCTGGTGACACCCTTAACGACCTAAAAAGTTTTATTTGGCTTGCCGGGACCGCAGCTCAGAGACAAATAATTAATTTGGAATTCATAGATTTGGAATTCGTAGATTCCAAACGTCCACACCAGCATATCTAAATCTCTACTTTTTTCCCCCTCTTCTTTGACGAGGCCTGTCTAGAAACTCGGTCGCTGATAGTGTAGATTTAGCTATAGAGGCAAAAGATGCTCATCTATATTGCGTGCGGTGTTCTTTCATGGAAAATGTCAAAGCTGTAAGAGACAGAAGGAAGCAGGCAAAAATTCTCTCAGAGTTGAGGAAGGTCCCCACACTTCCTAACCGGTATGGCCAAGTGGCTGGAGATTTGGAGAAATGTAATCCAACAGGGAAAGCGTCTACGATCTCAGAATTTTGGATTGTAGTGCTGCGGAAATGTAATCCAACAGGGAAAGCGTCTACGATTTCAGAGGTTTTGGAATCAAATTCCAAAATAAAATTTTGTAGTTTAATTCCTGGCTAACGGGCTTGTTTGCTACCTGTAGGAACGTTCTGATGGGGGGGGGCATGTCTTTCACACAACTCTGCCCGCTTCCGAGCCCGCCGGAGACCAGCGCCTCTGGATTCGGAGAGACGTGGGATTCCTACATTACACAGGCTCAGACGACCAACTGCTAGCTCCAAAGCTCATTTGCTTGAGTCGCGTTGCAGGAAGAGGACAAGCCAGGAGCAAGAAAATGAGTCGCCAGCAGCTTTAAAATCGCTTTAAAATGTTTTAATGCGGTGCTTGTTTGAATACGACGATACGTTTAATTGAGTGTTAACGCTACACCTTGTTGCATCTCTAACCATATCTGCCTTTTAAACCGTTTTGTAGGTCCCTCGGGTACCGGCTTCTGGAGGAAGGGAGGGTATTAATTAACTAAGTAACTGACTAACAGAAGAAGAAATAATACTTGCCAGGCACACCCTGCCGGCATCAATCTTTATGAAAGGGTTTCAGTCTTCGTTGTTGACGTTCGCATTCCCCCCTCCCCCCCCACCAAACAAAAAAGCTCCTCGTTTTCATTTTCTTCCCCAATTAAAATGGAAATCAGTTGCTTTGGCAGGCGAGCGGCCGCCGCCCCCCTTGGAAAAATCTGTCGGGGTACAAAAAAAATAAATCCAAAAAACCAAACCACCTGCTGGCCGATTGTGACCCCCACGAACTGGCCCCCTATTAGAACTTGGTAAGTCCGCGCTCTCCGATCTATGATGATTTCTGGTTTTGAGTCAGAAATCAGGGTGTGTAGAGGATCTTTTTGTTTTCCTATTGGGAGGGGGTGTTTTCGAAAAACAGGGACAAGGGACGTACTCCGAGTCATGCCAATCAAAGGAGAAGTGAGGGCTCAACCCCATTGTTAGCGCCAAAGAGGGAGGCAGACCCTCAGAAGGAATGAGACTGGTTAAGCTAACGCTGGCGTAAATCCCGTGGGTTCAGTGGGTTTACTCTAGTTGGAATTAACAATTGGATTTTCTCTGTAGTTGCCAAGGAGGCCCGCTGAGCGCTGCCAGGATCTGTCCCCGAGGTCACGAACCACTGGGAAGGCTTTCCAACGCTACTCTTGCACAGAAGAAATTATTGGTGGATCTTGCTCACAACACCAGCTGCAAATAAAATACCTCTTCCTATTATTTATTTATTTATTTAT